GGCTGCTCCTGCTGGGAGCGGAGCCGGCTGGGAGCAAGCCCCCTGCGAGGGAAGCTGCCTTTCAGCCCCTGGGAAAGGCTCGACGCCTTTATGTTTCTCTGCACACGCGGAAAACCTGTGCCTTTCTGCGCCTCTGACAAAAGCGGCTGCCAGCTAATAGCCAAACTCGGCACCACGTTCTGCAGAATACGTTCTTGCCTTTGTTGTGATACTTTAATAATTCTGCCAATCTTTTGCTTTTTGTCTGCAGAATCAAGTTGCTATTGTAAAGACCCACTGCTTGAAACTTCCCCAAGCCCAGTTGCCAGACTCATGATGCTGCAAAAACGTCAATACATACTGCCACCAAACTGCTCAGCTCTGCATTTCAGTGTAATGACTCTGGCAGAGATGCTGTTCCAATAGTCACGCAGATCAGTTGCAAAAAAAGAGGGCAGCCTCGAATCAAGGTCTATAATTCATCTGGACTGAAGATATAAACTCCATTTATTTTGCAGGCTTAACTTCTTAATTTGTTCTCCGGCCGGTTGTAGGGGTGTGCACAAGAGCACAGTTGTCTCTGTCTGTGTTGGTAGCATAGTTGTACTTCTGCACACCTGTAATTTCTTTCTTTCAGTGGAAAGAGTTGCTCACTTCACTTATGAGGCCAAGAGGAGAAAAAAGCAGCATTTAAAATAGGAGCATCACAGTAAATTCTGTAAATGACTCCTTCAGCTGAACATGTGTGAGAAGTGACAGTGTGCAAAAGTTGTATTTGTATTTCAAAGCAAAAGCAAATGCTGTAGAAACAAGAGTTGTAGACCTGTTCAACTGCACTGCATATCTATAGTCTGTCCTCATAGTTGCCATTATAAAGTAAATACTTCTTGCTTCTACTCCGTAACTCAAGAGCAGAAATCAAGAAGTCTGATGACCTTTTCCATAAACCAGCTGGGAATAGAAGTAGCAGTTTGATGTTGTAACCATGTTTTCCATTTTGTGTCAGTTGCACACCCTTACCGCATGAACCACTGCGAAATTTAGAATTCTTGAAGTAATTACATTATTTAGTGCATTTTGTAAAGAAGTGAAGCAGTTTGCTCTTTCAGAAGAGCTATATCACCTGCAAAATAAATACCCATGAATCATGAATTAACTGATGTTAGTGAAATTACTCTGCTCCCTACTTTCCCCCTATTTTTTTTCTTTATTTTTTTTTTTCTGATCAGACCTGAAAACAGGTCTACGCATATTCAGCAGTCAAAGTTAAGAGTTTCAGGATATGTTCCACCTGCTGTGATAGAACTGCATTGATTGTTCCTCCTATGTGTAAATGAAAATGAGTATAAACAATAAAATGCTTTACTGTGTTCTCAAGAGTGGTAGCAATTGTGTGACTGAAAGGAGTATTTATTGATTTACCTGGTTTCTCAGTATTGACTTTTTAGGTAACGCTGATTTGATGAGTCACTCAAGAAAGCAATTGATGAAGGCTGAAATGGCAAGCTTCGATCAGTGGTCAGATTTTTGACAGGCAGCTTTGCTTTCATCCTAACCGGTACTGTTAGGTATAATTCTTACTATTTTCATGTAATCCCAGATTAAGTTTTTAGGGGTTTTTTTTTACAAATATTTTTCTTACTCCATTAAAAGCAAGCAAAACTTACTTCAGCACTTGGTGGATACTGTAATCAAGGTTCTTTTAAAACTGTATGTATTCTAGATGGGGGCTGTTCTAAAGCCTGGAAAAATTTGATTTATCTACCTGTTATTCTTCAGAGAGTCATTCAAGTAATAAGGATTTATTTACCTAATTGCATAGTAAAGGAAGAACCTGACCCTCTGTGCCTCTGAAACTCCCAATAACTGTAAAGAGGAAGACGTGGTCACGGGCAGGAAAGAAGTCTGCAAGATACAAAGTAGTAGAAAATAAACATTTTCAGTAATTTGAAGAAATCCAGAAGACTTGCCTCAAAATTGCATACCTCTAGAAAAGAGAACTACTATACTACGCTTTTAGAAAGTACCCTCTTAAATTATTAGACAAATACGATTAGAGGAATTTTGTAAAACACTGTCTATCTTACTTGATTGAAGTGCTTATATTCCTTTTAAATTTTTTTTTTGCATACATAGGGTGAAAAAAGCAAGAAAGAAAGCATCAAACAATGCTTAACCTATTCTCAATTTGTCATTTTCCAATCTTGTAGAATGAATTGTGTTTGCCCCAAATTCTCGGTGAAATCACTAGGCTTCTTATATGTCTAAAAAATGGAAAATGAGACTACAAATGGAGTATTTTCAGTGCTTCCACAGAGTGTTGAGTCTTCTGTCAGTTTTACAAAGCTACGTGATTTAGAGAGCACGAGGTCCAGGAGTTGGCCTTTCCCGCCCTCACGCTGCTGGAATATACCCACCTTCAGCAGCTGGCTGAAAAAACTCCTGGCTCCCTGCTGTGATGTGAGGATTTTGCTGAGAAGCTAATTCATCACGAAATTATCCTTTCAAGTTTATGCCGAGGCTCTGAACTTTTCTGTACCAACAAACATTTCAGATAACCATGCTCGCTGTTGGGAAGATGATCGGAATGAAAGCTGCGCTGAGTGATTTGGGGCCAGAGGAGAGGAAACTAACTGGGGCCCTGCTGAGATACCTGCTAGTTAAAGGCCTTGTGCTACCTGAGCAGCAACATCTAGTTCAGAAAACCGTTCCCGCAGGGAGACAGAGTGAGGACACGCATCTGTTAGCAGTGAAAGAGAAGAAATGTAGGGCAAACATCACTCGGTGTCAGAAAATATAAGTATGTAAAACACGTTCTGAGTTTCACCCAGTGTGGTTTAGGACTAGAAGGGTGGCCCATGTGAGCTTCACTTCTTTGTGACTGGCAGAGCATGTCCTGGTTGAACGTACGTTTTAAAAGATGTTAGGGTTCAGGGATGTGGCGGTAAAGTTTCGACTCTCTGGAGAGGTCTGAGGGTCTTGCCCTCTTGCCTCTCCACTCCCTTGCTGTGTCTGGTCACTGTGCTCTGCCTTGGGAAGGACGGAGCATCTGGAATTTTCAGTAGGAGAGGTTGTCATTTTTGTCCACCCCATGTCTGTACTCCCGTGGAAGGGGCTCAGAGGACCCCACCTCTTGGTGTTATTTTGTCGAGGGAACCTCGTCATGACCCTGCAGGTAAACTCCAAAGGTGCTTAAGCCCATGCTGTTTCAGTCTCTCATTGCAGAAGCAGCATGCCTTCCTCTTATCTACTTATTTGTTGCACTGGGTTCAAATGTCAGATGATGTTGTTGAGACAAATCTCTGCTGGGCACTGACATTTGAAGTTGATCACACATTTGCAAACCTCACGCTTCCCACGGTTCGTGGTAAGGGCTATGTGCATGATAACGGTGTTGACTGGAGGTGCTGTGAGACGTACAACTGTTCAAGGGTAGCCGCAGTTGTAGGAACAGCTATTTGAAGCCCCATAGCTGCATAATTTTCCTAGTATTCCTCAATTTTTCTTAAGGGGAATTTCTCACTCTTCCAATTAATAAAACACAGATACAGAATATAGAAAATGAGAGGAGAAATCCCTTGCAATGAACCTTCATACAGCCATGCAGCAGCCTATGAAGTTCTACATCTTCAGTATGCATAAGAAAATGTCTTGACTACATGGGACAAGGCTCCATGGAACAAAAGGGATTTCAACTAATTCTCTGGACATTTATACCATATTCACTGCCACAGCGTTTGAGAAAGCTGGCCTGGCCTTTAGCCTCCAGCAGGCCATGTAGAGTAGGGATGGCAGTTAATACCCCATTTGGAGCAGCCCATTTCCACCCTCCTCTGCCCCTGCCTGCAAAAAGCCAATCTGCCTTCCATTAGCAGAGAGTGGACCCATTGCTATTAGATTCAGGTTGCTACTCCCATGCTTTCTTGGTCAGAATGGACTGGATATTGTCAGAAGAGGTATTTAAAAGATGTGTAGATGAGGTGCTTAGGGACATGGTTTAGTGGTGGGATGGCAGGGTTAGGTTAACTGTTAGAATTGATGATCTTAAAGCTCTTTTCCAACCTAAACAATTCTATGATTCTATGATTCTAAGTAAGCACTTTTACCTGAAAATCCAGATCAGGCTAAAACTACTCTGTCAGGGAATAAAGTGAAAAAGACAAGTAGTAGTAACATTGGAGACCAGGCATTGTGATTTGCAGCAGCAAATAAGGCTGAGCAGTGTGGCTGAGGGCAATTCTGTATTCAAATAGTGAAATCCCATTCAAATTTAAATGTAGCAGAGATTGAAGAACAGGTTTCTCCACCAAAGAGAGCATGTAGCAAACACAGGGGGCAAGGAAGTCATCCAGAATCTCCAAGTCTTGACCTGAGTTTAAGGAAAAAAACCCCGGGGTTACTACTCCTGGATCTCAGGAGCCCAGCAGACAAGCGAGCAGACAGTTTCCGTGAGAAGAACCATACCCGGAGACATGTAGGAAAATTACAGGTGTGCATTTATTCAATAAAGCAGATGCAAACTTCTTCTCTTGTGATGGGATTAAACACCTGTCTACATCAGGACAGAAAGGTTTGTAGTTCATATTAGGAGTTTTTTTACATATTCCAATAATTAGTACCTAAATGAAAACACAGACGCAGTTTAAGTGAGCTCTCCTACAGCAGTGAGTCTGGCTGATAATAATAATGAGCATGAAACATTTAAGCCCAGAATGATCATGTAGAAAAGCAAGCAGAAAATTAAGCTTTTTAATCAATCACGTATTAAGCTTAAAAGATGCAATGTAACAGGCAACTCAATAGGTGAGGTGAAGAGGAGATCCACAGGATATCAAATTTACAACGTAGAGATCAAAATCTCTTACTGAGTCATTTTCAAGGGCTGGAGAAAGAAAATCTTTGCTGTTCTTCTCTGAGATCAAACTCTTTGCAGTCATCCTTATAAAGGAACAAGACTTTTAAAATTGTCTTTATACAAATAATACTTTGGAGGCTACAAAACAGACGGAGTTCATGGCTGCAGGGCTTTCACTGAGTTATCGTATGTTCTGCCTTTGAGGCTGAATGGTCATGGAAAAAGAGGAAGACAGGAAGAAGGGATGATTATGTAAAATAACCCCTTTTTGGCATTTCTTTCCTTATACGGAACCAAGGCAAGAACTAGAATAACAGGAAAAAACAAGATCTGGAAAATGTAGACATTAATGAGGTTACATTAGATTTCAGGAACATGTTTAGGGTGGAATGGGGCAAAAAGAATAAATACATTTCCAGAATTCAAAGAAGTGGAAATTAAATTAGAAATTTCCTTCCATCCAGATACCTCAGGGGTCCCGCTATCTTAATATTAGTTTCATAATACCATTTCTAAAAATCTTGATATTCCCAGATATGTTCAAATTAACATTTATTAATACATTCATGACTGCTTTTATATTAAGGCACACACTTCCCAAGCTCATTCACTCTTTTTCCTGTGGATTTCAAATTTCACTTACTTTGTGCTCTTTTCTATCTGCATGCTGTATTTAGAACATGAATCTCATTTGGACTCAGCCCTCTACAATCCAGTCACTGGAATTACGAGAAACATCGCTTTCAAAAGGAGTATTAGGATCAGTACATTTAAGAGAATTAGTGTAAAAGCAAGCTAAGTTCCTGTTTCCTATCTACAGGAGACGGCTGTCCTTCCCTGAACTTGGTTCCTAAGAAAATCTACTGTAGGTTTGAAGGACACTGATATGAAATAAGCCGGTCGATAAACCAGTGCAGACATACAAACCAGCCAGGTGTTCAGACAACAGAAGGAAAGCATCAGTGCCAAGCTCATATTGGGCTGGGTCTCTCAGACCCACAAGGGACAGACATACCAAAACTCTGCATTTAGTTGAGTCCAGAAATTTTCAAAGGATCCGTTAGGGAGTGAAGGGCGAGGAAAGCTTCAGGACTAGTTCATATGTAAGGATGGTGGAGGAACCCATGTTCCTGAGAGGCCCCACGGGCTCTTTCTCCCTGGAGCTGGGTGGCCCTGGCTCAGAGCAGCTCTGACACAGGAGCCACGTGGCCGTGGATGCAGCTACTGGGACAACTGTGTTAGGGGAGCCGAACCCAGTAGCCTGGTAGAGGTGAGGCTGCACAGGCTCCATGCCCCAGGTCCAACCAGTAATGAGGCTGGGCGTGTGTTCCCAGGTACATGCATACACATGTGCAACACATATATACACATTTCCAGCCACACCGATCAACACAGACACACTGTCCACGATTGTTTGCCCCTGGACACATGAGCCCCTAGTGCTGTAGCCCCACTCCAGC